TACATCCAGTTCTATAATTTCATCTTACTAATGTGATTTTCCGAAGTATGTCAGTCTTTAACACATTCATTTGTGATTTTTTTCAATCAATAGCATGAAAGATAACCTTTTAAAATACCTGTTATAAGTAATAGCTAGAACATCATCTTTGAAATTTTTCTCCCCACTCACCTTCCTTTTTAGGCAAAAATGACTATTTGCCTTTAGCCATCCTAAGGCTTTAATTTATCACTCCTCACCAGTAATATTAGGCATGAGGCGTTGATTAAGGCATTATATTATATTTATCTTTATATATTTATAATTTTTAAAAGTTTTCTCATCCCAGCAAATTGTTGCTCTTCCTTTAAGGCTCAACTCATAGTTCCCTATACCTTTTAATACTTGACCACTTAGCCACAGTTTATAATTATGAATTGTGTAATTATATTATTATTGTCTTTTATTTCCCACCACCATCATTATAAGCTCCTTGAGATTAGAATCCTTGTCTGTTTTTATATCCCCAGCCCCTAACATGTTTCCTGGCACATAGTTGGCACTAACTAAGTGTTTTTGAATTAATTAATTAATTAACTATCAAGTCAGTAAATGACCTCAAATATTGTATCCTCCTTGAATTCTTTCCTAATCTCTTCAAATACTACCCCCATTTCCCACCCCACTGACAGAGTTGAACATTCCCTTTTCTTTATGTCAATGGAAGTTTGCAAGTAACTTGGGTGGCCGACCATATATCTAGGTTTCCCTGGGATATCCCCAATTTATCCCTATTATTTTGGCATAAATATTAGTAAACACTCCATTCTCAAAAGTATCCTAGCTTGTACTGTAATTGAGATGCTCACCCTCTATAGAACTTTCTAGGACCATTTGTAAGTCGACTTTTTACTAGTTTGCAAGTTCTTTGAGGACAGGCTCAGTTCTGGTTTCTCTTCCTAACCCTGGGGCTTATCACAGTGTCTGGCACTCAGTGACTATTCTTTTGAATGAAAAGACATTCCTGCTATCTCATCTCAAGAAGCTTGCATTCTAAAGCAAAACAAAACACACACACACATGCACACACAACATGTGACACCTACATATCTACACAGGTTTTAGGACAGACAATCAACATTTTTCTTAAAATCTTCTTGCTTAAGGCTTTGAAAGGTAATGTCAACGGCTCAACTCATAGCTCATAACAAAACGTTATTTTTGCTAAGTCATTTATTTCTTTTATAGTTTAGGTTACTGAGTAGGAAACTTTCATAATAATAACTAGTAATTTCAGTGAGGGTTTCCTGTGTTTGTGGGATTTTCCTTGAGTTTAAATTTGCTATTGTATGTCTACATGTACTTGGTAAAAATGTTCACACCAATGCCAATGTCAGTTTGGACAGATCTAAATATCAGATAGTATAAAAGAAGACAAACATTCTGTGGTCCACTAGCTAAGAGCAGTCAAACTTATCTTTCGTAAGTACCTCTCATTTGCCAAGAAAATATACATTTAGTCTTATTAACAGTTGTTTTTCAGTGATTTTTGAGGTTTGAATAAATTCAGGGGGAAATATCTCAATTTAGAAACTATTTTGAAGAGAATAAAATGTAATTCAAATAGTAAATGTGGAACTTATAAAGGAAATGGGCTTTAAAATTTGAATAACAAAGATTAATGGAGAAATGAAAGTGACATGGGGGTCTGTGTTGGCTAATTCATCAAGGGAAATTTATAAAGTCACAAGTGGTAGTGTAATCATGAGAGAAGTGACTGCTTAAATGTCAGTTCTGAGATGTCAATTCTGTGTGAATATGTTTCCAAATCTGACTCCTAAAGTGAGCATGCAGTTATCCATAACATTCTTAGAACTACTGATGGTCTTTCTCCTTGTTTGTGTAAATAGGACTGAGCTGTGACTGGAAATCCCTGGTACACTGGATTACTTAGGTAGCCTGGTTTTAGATTAGTGAGCACAGCTGCTGCCTGAAGAACTTATCAGTGCCCACAGGTCTACAGCCTTGCCTCACTCTCAGTCTTCTTTTCAAAAAGAAAAAAAAAAAAAAGGATGGTTTCTGTTACCCCCTTTATGTATATTGAGAACCTACTGTGTTCTGTTCACTTTTCTAAGAACTTTTCTTATTCATCTTATGTAATCTTTACAGTTACCCTGTGAAGTAGCTCCTCCTTTGACACATGAGGAAACCAAGGCTCAAAGAGAAGAAAACATTTTGCTAGGTTAGAACTGAAACCAGGACAGAGGAGATAGGTGAGAGGAGGTGTTTAGAAATAGAATTGTACTCTTTTGTAATAAATATTCTATATTTTTTTATTGATTATACATATTTCGGGGGTTCAATGTTGACATATGTTGATCAAATCAATATTACTAGTATGTATATTGTTACAAATTGTACTTATTCTTTATGCCCCTTGCCTGCTTTCTCCCTATCCCCCCTCCCTTCCCCTCCCCCTTCTAATTACCCTAGATTTCTTCTCTCCTTCTGAAAGAATAAAGGTTACTCTGTTGATTTGTTGCCTAGATGATCTGTCCAATGCTGAGAGGTGTGTTCAGGTCCCCCAATATTATCATAGAGCAGATGCTTCTGTAACTCTGGAATGGGCTTTGTGGAGAGAGACATCCTCTTTTCTTTGGTCTCTGCTGGTGAATCTCCTTTTATTGATGCACTCCAGTGGCTGGTGGACCATCTGCATGGTGGTTGTGACATCTAGCAACTTTCGCAGTAGCAGTGGTTACTGTGGTGGCTGTTGTGGACCACCCACATGGATGTGATGTTTTTGGCATGCTCCTTGGCACTGGTGGTGTGCCTGGTTCCCCTCCCCCTTCTAATTACCCTAGATTTCTTCTCTCCTTCTGAAAGAATAAAGGTTACTCTGTTGATTTGTTGCCTAGATGATCTGTCCAATGCTGAGAGGTGTGTTCAGGTCCCCCAATATTAACATAGAGCAGATGCTTCTGTAACTCTGGAATGGGCTTTGTGGAGAGAGACATCCTCTTTTCTTTGGTCTCTGCTGGTGAATCTCCTTTTATTGATGCACTCCAGTGGCTGGTGGACCATCTGCATGGTGGTTGTGACATCTAGCAACTTTCGCAGTAGCAGTGGTTACTGTGGTGGCTGTTGTGGACCACCCACATGGATGTGATGTTTTTGGCATGCTCCTTGGCACTGGTGGTGTGCCTGGTTGTGGGTGGGGCGTCTGGTTCCCGCTCCATGCCCCGGGCCCCCAGGCAGGGCCCCAGGGTACTTCAGTTTGCCTGGTTGTGGGCAGGGGTTCTGGTCCCCACTCCATGCCCTGGGCCCCTGGGCAGGTCTCCAAGGCACTGGCAGTGTGCCTGGTTGTGGGTGGGTGGGGCTCCAGTCCACAGCTCCATATCCTGGGCCCCTGGGTGGGCCCCAAGGCACTGTAAGTGTGCCTGGTTGTGGGTGGGGGTTCCGGTCCCTGGCTCCATACCCAAGCCCATGGGCAGGACCCCGAGCTGCTAGTGGTGTGCCACGGTGTGGGCAGGGGGTCTAGTCCCCAGCTCCAACCCCCAGGCCCCTGGACGGGGCCCCGAGGCACTGGCAGTGTGCCTGTTTGTGGGTGGGGGTTTCGGTCCCCAGCTCGTTGCCTGGGCCCCTGGAAGGGACCCCAAGGTGCTGGTGGTGTGCCTAGGCTAGAACTAATGTTTTGTCCTTTGCTTACTTCTAAAATGAGGGAACTTCTTCTGGGAACCAGTACTTGAGCTGTGTGGTTGAGCTAAATTGCTGATTTGCTGCTGTTTCCCTAGGGAAGGCTTTTTGTGCAGCTCAGGGTTTAATGGTTGTCCTTATAGTTACTTCCGGCTCTCCAGAGACCTGGTGCACCTGGGTTGTGAAGAAACTCTGATCTGGGCCTGAATTTTTTCATCAAACGGCACCCCATGCAATTCTGCATTCTTGATCAGTCTCCTCTGAGTGGTCCTGTGCTGAATGGGGGGAAGATCGGCTGTCCTTGCTGTGTCCCAGTGTTCTCCTGGTGGGCCCATCTCCCCCACCACCCACACTCCAAACACTTCCCATGGGATGGGCCCTGCACCGGTCCCTTGCGATGACTCACGGGCTTCTGAATGGCTCCCCTTTTTTCAGCTGTTCTGGCTCCTCATTCCTGTGTGGATCCACAGGAACCCTATTAGTGGTCTTGCTGTCCTGGGGACCACCAAGGCCCTCTTCTCCCCTGACGTCTCCAAGCAACTCCATCCGAAGGGCATAGCTGCGGTTTCTGCTGGCTCCTGCTCCGTGCCTCAGCAGCTGCAGGCTTAAAGTGGCTGCAGCCTGAAACGCTCCAGGCAATTTTTTCTTTCTCTCATCGTGGTTTCTCCTACCTTTGTGAACTCTGTAGGTCTCTCCTCCTCTTCCCCTGAGCTCCAGCAGCCTCAGCTTGGCTGTTGTTACATTTTTATAGTTTTAAATTGGTTGATTTGTGGGAGACAGTGTTATTTGTTACCTTACAGCCTGCTTCAATAGTCTGAAAATTTTAATGATTTTCCAGTCTTCCTAGTACATGGGTTCCTGATATTTTGCAAAGAGTAATGCTGGAGAGAATGTGCTCTTCAAGAGTAGATTTCAGTGTTAGCAAGGATCTGATGTGGGATCTAGAAACACTTCCCTGGCATAAAAGAAGAAAGATAGTCCTTCCAAGGATATATATATATATATATATATATATATATATATGTAAATAAAAATATCCTTGAATATATATATTCCAAGTTGTGATAGGCAGATAGCTTTAGCTATTATTTGGGGGATATGGGGGTGGAATTACAATGTTATTTCCACCACTGAAATTTTTGTGTCTAGAATTATTAGAGAATTAGGGACTCTATATTTTTAATATAAGGTGAGTTCAATCATTATAAACAGAAAAATCAAATGCCAGAGAACCTGTAGTTTCTTATTAAAAACCTCTGTATTCTAAAATTCTTTTCCAGAAGTTTACTGAATATGATAGTGGTATGTGTGTTTATTTGTAGGAACTGGTAACATATAAACACAACAAACCAAACAGGCAAACTCTTGCACCATCGCTACCGCAACATTTTACCACAGAGGAATGCCACTGTACATGGATTACAAGCAGGCTAAAAGGAAAAAGAGCTGATTAGACCTCAGACCGCCCACTGAACGGGATGACGGCCACAGCTGCAGTGGAGGCACCAAAAATGGAGAAGAGTGCCTCCAAAGAAGAGAAGCAGCAACCTAAGCAGGATAGCACGGAGCAGAGCAATGCTGATTCTGAAGAGTGGATGAGCTCTGAGAGTGACCCTGAACAGATAAGCCTTAAGAATGGTGACAACAATAATAGCTGCCAACCTGGGGATGGTCAGTTGAAGAAGAAGGGGATGTCCTCTAAACCACACCGCCAGCTCTGTCGATCACCCTGCCTGGATCGTCCAAGCTTCTCTCAGAGTAGCATTTTACAGGATGGTAAGCTTGACTTAGAAAAGGAATACCAAGCCAAGATGGACTTTGCTCTAAAGCTGGGCTATGCAGAGGAACAGATTCAATCAGTACTGAACAAGCTGGGCCCTGAATCCCTTATTAATGATATATTGGCAGAGCTTGTCAGACTTGGGAACAAAGGTGATTCAGAAGGTCATGTCAACTTGAGTCTGTTAGTGCCTCGTGGGCCCAGCTCCAGAGAGATTGAAAGTCCTGAATTGTCTCTTGAAGATGAAATAGACAACAGTGACAATTTGAGGCCGGTTGTCATTGATGGAAGTAATGTGGCAATGAGGTAAGCCAGGCATATTTTTTCTCTCTTTTTGAAAAACTGCTCTGAACTCATAGAAATCATCTTCCTTTGCAAAGTGTTATAAGAGGCCATTGGTTGTTATCTGTAGTTTGTAGTCCTATAGGTGGACAGAGACTAAAATGATCCTGCCCTACCTTTTCTCTTTCTTTTGAAATTGCTTCCAATTTGTTTTTAGGTGTTACAAAGGCAGTTTAGGCATCAGTGATACTTCAGAAGAGACATAACCACTCACCTTTGTTCCTTTTAGGGTCCGCTTTCCCACCCCTGCTGGGCTAATCATCTTGAAAATTCTGCTTTCATAATGTCACTTGGAGGCTTACTTAGGAACTTTCAGTAATTCCCAATTGCTCTTCTACCAAGTTTGGATCCCTTTCCTTGGCTTTAAGGGTTCTTTGTGATCTGGCTTTTCCCTCCTCCCATTTGATCACATCTCTCACACTTATTGCATCTACATCAATCTCTTTAATGGTCTCTATGTAAATTATGCTGATTTCTACCCCCACTACCTGTGTTCATGTCATTTCCCAACCTACAAGTAACCTCCCCTCCTTACCTCTATACCCTTCAAGATGCATCAACTTCACAAAGACCTTCCTGATTTTTCTGATCCCAATGACTATCTCTGACCTACAGTACCTATGATAGGTTGAATGATAACTCCCCAAAGATGTCCACATTCTAATCCCCGAAACCTGTGAATACATTATCTTACATGGTAGGAGACACTTTACAGGTGTGATTAAGTTAAGGGTCTTGACGTGAGAGAGATTACTGTGGATTATCAAAGCAGATCCAATGTAATCACAAGGGTCCTTATTAGAGAGAGGCAGCAGGACCAGAGTAAGGAGTAGGAGATGTGATGACAGAAACAAGAAGCTGGAGGCATATAAGAAAGGGACCATGAACCAAGAAATGTGGGTGGCCTCTCAAAGATGGAAAGGGCAAGGAAACAGATTCTCCCCTGAAGCCTGCAGAAACAATACAGCCTTGCCAATACCTTGATTTTAGACTTCTGACTTCTTGAACTGTAAGAAAATAAATTAGTGTTATTTTAATCCACTAAATGTGCAGCAGTGGGAGACTAATGTAGTTAGTATCTATAGTGCCTTCATATTTTATTCCATACTCTCTCATATAATTTTTTATTTCACATCAGAGAGCTTTAGGAATTCCTTCTTCTATTTCCTAAATGAATTGTCATCCAGCCTTGGCTTGAAAATTCCCAGTGATCGGGAGCCTGCTTCCTATTGAGTTTACCATTGCTTAATATACTCACTGGAATCCTTAGACTGTAAAGCAGTCAGAACAAAGTAAAAAGCCTTAGCCTAGCAGATTTTAAATTAGATTATTCCTTTGTCTTTGAGGGAAGGGACCTTGCTTTTTTTTTTTTTTAAAAAAGATGACCGGTAAGGGGATCTTAACCCTTGACTTGGTGTTGTCATCACCACGCTCAGCCAGTGAGCGAACCGGCCATCCCTATATGGGATCCAAACCCGGGGCCTTGGTGTTATCAGCACCGCACTCTACCGAGTGAGCCACGGGCCGGCCCGGGACCTTGCTTTATGCCTCCCTTGTTTTCCTCACAACATATAGTACAGTGTTGAGTGCTCCCACAGAGATACTAGGGAGCAGGAAGGGGGATAAGTCTTGGGAACCATACCACTACTGTTGCTTAGCAGGCTATCCAGGAAACACATTTCAGTATATAGTCCTGTTTAATCCTCACAACAACTTTATCTTACAGATGAGAAAACCAAAGCTCAGCAGGGTTAAGTGACCACCCTGAGGTTTCATAGATAGTAAGTAGCAAAGTGAGGACTTGAATTTAAGTCCTCTGGCTTCAAATGAATGAAATGAAACTAACATTTATGAATACTCTGTGCCAGGTTCTTTTGCATATGTGATTTAATCCTCACTGAAAGCCCTGCAAGAACAGGCTAATTAGGTTCATTTTTTGCAGGTGAAGAGACTCGGGTTCACAGAGTTTAAATAACTACCCAAGGTTACACAGGTAATAAATGACAAGGCTTGGATTAAAATCTGAAGCTGACGCCAAGGCTCTTTTGACATTATCACACAATATTATGTAGCTCTTAATGTTATTAAGAATATTTGGCATCTCTGCTAGTAGCAGAGAATACATTTACAGATTTCATTTCTTAAATCTTTTAAATCATGACAGCATCATCATAAGGTACATAAAGCAGGCTAGACATCTCTCCTGTTTTAATGCCAGAAGCATAGTAATAAAAAAGTTAAATGACCTGCACACAATACTACAGCAATGAGAATGATGCAGTGGGCCAGCGAGAAGTCAAAGATGATGTCTGTGTTCAAAAGGCCAAAGGTATCTCTGCTCCCAACTTGCAGGCATAAATAAGCTAGAGTGATTCTTGAGGGGAAGGGGTACGGGATCTGCGCAACTCAATCTCTCACCAGACCAGACCACTCAGAATATCCTAAATTTGACCTGTTTCCCAAGGCCTATCTTTCTTTAAGGGTTTTGTGTTTTGGAGTTGGGGATGAGAACCCAGGACTTCCTTGAGGACTTTGACTTCATGGTGATACATGTCTTTGGTGATCCTTGTCTTTGGACTTCTGTTCAAGGATCACTGATTATGAAGGACTCTATGGTTCTTTTGCTTTGTATGGAATAATAAAGAAATTAGTTACTCTGATAATTAGTTCCCATATATCTAGTGTGTGTTAGTAGCAAACTGTCATACTGACAGGAAGATGAACTTTTGTCTCCTGTATGAATTGCTTTGCTAAATTAAAGGTACCTAACATGATTTTTAAAAGCAAAAAAAAAAATAAAAAAATTAGCCCTCAACCTTATTTTTAGGATCATATAATAATGCATAAAGACCATGTGATTATTTATTTATAAATATCCAACTAAAATTTACTGCAACTTTTGTAGAATTTAATTTGTGTTATAAGATATGTTGCATAGGAAACTATTTAAAGCCCCTGAGGAAAAATACCTGTGATTTAATGTGCAACTGGTTTTGTTTCTTCTTTAGGGAAAAGGTGAGAGATGATCTCTGGGAAAAATAACAGAAAAGTGTTGAGAAGCAGAACTTAAGGTTATTTCATGTGATGGCTGGGGAATTGTGTGTCTGGTTCTTGGCAGCATAAAATATCTAGTGTTTGTTTTTTCAGTCCGTTGGTCTTCAGTATCTGAGTTGGTAGCTATATAACAATATTTCAGCCCAAGAAGGGATTAAATATTAGTTATACTAATTCATTAACATGTTTCAAGAAAGCAGTTTTAGAAATAAGATTCAGGGATGCCACATGGCCCAGCACCACTTCAGACAGACACAGAGTGTGTCCTGGCACATCCATCTCTGGGGATCACCTCACTCTAGGAACTGGCCAGGTGTCATTCCTGCCTCTTACTCCCTTCCCAGATGCTATAACTACAATGCAATTGCAGAATTTGACACAGCACACCTGCACAGTCCAGGCTGATCTACAACCCTAACAGTTTATTCATGCAACACTGTGCCAAGTTCCTCACTTTATGTGGGAAACATTTTCACACCCTGCTCAGATGATGTTTATGTTGTACAAAATGGTTTTCCCTATACTATTTATTTCTGAGGAGACACAGATGCACCAGGAAGGGGGCTAAACCTTAAATAAAGTGAAATGTAGAGTTTGGCAAAGGGCAGCTGGAGGATATGCTTGTGAGGCCAAACATGGTATCTGCAATGGTTTCAGGGTCAGTGGCCACCAGGGCCTGACTTGGTGATGCAGTTTTCCTCCTGTCTGCAGAAGGGCAGTGAGCTTGGGTAGCACTCCCCTGTCCCCCAGGGAGAAGCAGTACAGTGGCCTCTTAGAGCTGCAGTGACTGCCTCACTCAGATGGCATTATTCTTTGGAATGACTGACTGATTGCACACAGGCAGGGGCCATAAAGAATGTCAACTCCCAGCTGCTTTCTCATCCATTGGCTGAAACATCTCACTGGGTACCTATTTGCTATTATGGGGTTTAACTGTGCCCACTAAAGCTCATGAAAGATTCACGTGTTCTATGGATGATCACTTACTATGGCATGAGGCAAACATGAGGAGGGAGAGCCGGTCCGGTGGCACACTGCTACAGTGTGCCGCAT